GAATACAGAATTGTGTCCTAAAATTCTTAATCAGGTATCAGACTTAATCCCTAATTTATCTATACAGACCAAAAGTCCATATGTTAGTCACTGAAAATAGAGATTCAAACATGGCCCCAGGGAGACTGGAGAAAAGTCGATAAGAAGGAGGAGGGGGGTTGTTCTTACTTTTACCAGGAACTTCCAAATTTCAGCCCACATTTTAACCAACACTTTGTTTATACTGGACGAAAATTAAGAATAAAAGCTGTATTGTAATGTTAGCCTCTTGAGATATACAGTGCACAAAATAATAGTACTATAGAGAAAAGTAAAAAAAAAAACTTCATACCTTGCCCAATATTTTGTTTCTAAAAACACTTGGAGACACATTACACATGAATGTGTATTTAACAGTGATCTCGATTTCTATATAAATATTCAGGAAAATAGAGTGATCAATGTCTTTGCAGCGATAGATATACCATTCAGAGTAAAGACTGTTGATACTTGGGATTTTTCAGCATATTTAACAATTTTTATATTCATAAATGAGATGTTGTTAAGTGCCATAAAGTTGGTTCCAACTCATAGTGATCCTGTATAGGGTTTCCAAGGAGCAGCTAGTGTGTTTAGCCTTGCATTTAGCTGTCTAGTACTTATCCTGGTGTGGCGCTGTGAGTTAATGTGCTGAACTGCAAAGTTAGTTTGAACCACAAGGTCAGCAGTTCAAGCTCATCGGCTTCTCCTTGGAAACCCTATACAGGGTCACTATGGGTTGGAATAGACTCAATGGCACTTAACAACCACAAATGTATCCTATCACACCATGCCAGGACAAAATAGCCTGACTCAGAATCATATTTTCTCATGCATTTACAGTAACTTGAATCCACTCCTTCCATAAGACAAGTTGTCAAGAGTTGAGACTTACAGAAGTCATTTTATCAGACTGTTAGAAAATAGAACATGAGTTCTATTTGCAGCCCATATTTAAAAAACTAATTTTCTGTGTTTTAAATTTAAAAGAAAAAAAAAAGACAGAGAAAGAAAAAACTTTACTAGAGATTCTGAAGTGTAAATGTGCTCCTGACAATTTCATGGTCGATCACCCTAAAATCTTAATTGCCAGAGAGGACTCTTTTTTGATTTTCAGCAATCTGAACTGGTTTCTAAGAATAAACTTGACTTCTGCACTAACTTTTCTAAAGAAGGGACATTTTAATTTTTGAAATTGTTCCCTGACAAGTGCAAAAAGGAGTACTTTACTAATCAACAAGTAGAAAAGAAGTAAGAAACAAATACTATACACATATCTTTTCAATTATATGCTTACTCTGATGCCTTTGTTTTTAGTCCTCTTTGAATATTCAACCTGGCCCACTCAGGTTTTGTCATTTACTTTTGTTTATTTTTGCTGACACATCATTTCTTGCCCTCTTTGTTCATTGACACCTGGAAAATAAGCCTTGAAATTGCATTTCAACCTTGTTGTTAAGTGCCATCGATTAAGTCCTGATTCATAGAGAACATGTATAGGGTTAATAAGAGGTGGCTGGTAGGTTTGAACCTCCAAACATTCAGCTAGCAGTCCAGTGCTTATCTTACAGTGCCACACCAGGACCCCATTCAGCCTGCTACCCTCAAAATGCATTCCCACATATTAGCCTTTATAACCATTTTTTTCTTCCTGGTCCATCAATGCAGTTATAAAAATGAAATGACTGCACTGTGTTTTCACCCCCTCCCCCATTCCCCAAAAATGAACAAAAAATACTTATGATGGCCCTTATCCAGGAGTATTTTATCCCTTATTCACTAGTGGTAAATGAGTCAGATATGAGTTGGCCAGGAAAAGAGCTGCTTTACCCAAAATCTCAGTACAAAATGAGTCATCTCACTCCAAACACCAATATATCCTCCAAAATAACTGGCAAGAATTTCCTATAAAAAGAATCTAGCTTTCGTTCTTTTCCATCCATTTAGCACTCTGATTCTTCTAATTTTTCAATTTCCTGTGGACTTACAATATTGTACTCATAACAAAAGCCCAAGAACATGTCTGTCTCTATCTCATTTTGAATGTCATTTTCCCTGTGTTCAGTAGAGGCACAATTCTGATAGAGTTCTGAATTCCAAAACAGTTTATCCTTTTCCCACTGTAGCTTTAAAAGCTTTGGATTTCTCTTTTCATCTTTTCTTTCTCTTCTGTTGGGTGAAATTTATGCATGGTTCAATAGAAATACAACAGCCAGTTCTAGAAGAATTTTTTTTTTTTACCTCTGCTGAAATACTGAGTTCAGCAGAGGAAAATATTCCAGGCAAAAATATGTTTCTTCTTACAAAATAAATCAATCAAAAAACATACAATCTAAAACTGATCAAATAACATGAACCCAGGCTGAAAGCTGGAACTATACTTTCTTGAATATCAGAAAATCTATGTACTGTCTGTCGCTGACTTAACCTTAAAATCTCCCACTGTGGACCGCACAACAACAACAGAAAACAAACACACAGTTGCTGTAGAGTTGGTTCTGACTCATACAGACGTCTATGTGAGAACAGAACTGTGCTGCATACAGCTTTCAATGGCTGGTTTTTCTTAAGTAGATCATAGTCTTTCCTTCTGAGGTGCCCCTTGGTAGACTTGAACCTCTAACCTTTAGTTAACAGCTGAGTGTGTTAACCATTTGCACTACCCAGGGACTAAAGTTGGGGTTAAATCCCTGTGGTTTTCAGGAATCAAAGCACAGTGTTTACACGAGGACAAACAAGCATGTATGCAGATCTAATGTCTATGGAAGTGCTGAGATTTTTACACTACTTGGGGTTCACATAATGATGTATTTATTGTTCATCATGCTACAATCTGCATTTTAATGGACAAAATTATCTCCAGTTCATTTCACTCAAGTTGGAATTTAGCTTTGTTTCCCTATATTAAATGGATTCTAAAGAATAGCTATGCTCTTTTTATATCCAACACTAACAGATGTTAGTTTCCTCAGTTTTATAGCCCTCTGATGACAGACAAGTAACTGTATTTGGCTTTGGGAATAATTGCAACACCTTTGGACTATGAACTTGGTTCAGTTCTTAGCTGGTAACAGTAGGGGGTATGTTAATATCATCAAAGATGTAAAATAAGTTTTCTCTTATTCTCCAGATGCCCATGAGAAGAAGCCTTCTAATACAGTACTGTAGAACTGATTGGTATTTTTGTTTTTCTATTAGTAATATGATTTTAATGGTAAAAAATATATATAATAATGGTTATGGTGAAAAAATAATTGCATAAAAATGAAACTTCTTATTCAATGTATCTACTTCTCTTGACCAAAACAAGATGTTAAATCCATTAAGCTCTGAGGATCCAGTAAAAGCAAGAAAGCTAGACCTGTTCAAATTTGTGCATTCTTGGGAAAATTGCCAGTCTATGCACTAGTAGCAGAATCTGTGTAATTAATGGTGATGTTATTGACAGAGAGAGTCCTATTTCTTTCTCAGAAGCAATTTAAGAGTGCAAGCTGGCAGGGCTTTAGCAAAACCCTCACTTGATTTGTTTTTAAATTGAGGAAATATGACCTCAAAATCAGCCATAGAAAACACCAATGTTAATGTACATTGAGGTGGTGTTGGTCACCACAGACTTAAAGGAAACCCTGGATGTAGTATTGTCTGTAGGAGAGAATGAAACATCAAAATGCACAAAACCAACAACTATTTCTTACAGTTAGAATAAATAAACTCAACCTTTTTTTTGCCCAGAAAGCTATGAAGACCCATTAAAGCCATATCTTAGGATTGTTGTTATCGGTAAGTGCCGTCAAGTTGATTCCAACCCATAGTGACCCTGTATAGGGTTTCCAGGGAGCAGCTGGTGAGTTTGAACCACCAACCTTGCAGTTCAAATGACTTTACAATCTGACGTATTAGCCCACAGCGCCACACCAGGACTTTGACATCAAATCAGATTCAGGGTCACATAATCCTTTACTTCCTGCATCCTTTGGCATAAACGTCAGTCTTTCTCCATGTTTCAGAATTCAAGGACAGTCATTTAAGAAGTTTCTATGTATTTTGGCTACTCAGCTGATTAGCAATCCCTCCAGCTTCTACTATCCTCTGTTTTCTTTTTTTATATCCCATCACTTGTCATTGTTGTTAACGTTGTCGAGTGAGTTCCATCTCATAGCAACCCTATATAGGGCTTCCAAGGAGCAGCTGGTGAGTTTGAACTGCCGACCTTGCAGTTCAAACCTACCTGTGGTCCAGTGTTTATCCTACAGTGCCACAGCAGAACTCCGCCATCGAGTCAACTGCAACTCACGTTATTGTCTTCATTAAGTGCCACCCAGTTGGTTCTGACTCAGAGTGACAGGGAAACCATTACACGCGTTCCAAGGCTTTTAAATCTTTGCAGGAGCAGTTTGAGGATTCGAATTGTTGACCTTTTGGTTCCCAGTCCATTGCTTATTGTCTAGATCCACACATGGAACCTTACAGGAGAAGACATCTTTATTTTTTCTTCTGTGAAACAGCTGGTGGGCTTGAACTGATGACCTGTGGTGAAACATCCAGTTCTTATCCTACAATGCCACCAGCACTCCTTTTGTTATTATTTTATTAATATCCATAAACTCAAAATCATGAGAGCAGTAAAAATAACATCTGGAAAAATAGAGATAACTAAAGAAAGAAGTTACAGCTCTTTGTTTTCTGCACTAAGTTGCCCAATAAGGACTGATTTTTCCCACAATCCATCTCATTTTTTCTATTTCTTGGAGAACTGTAGCCACATGCTCCAGCCTTGTATTTCCCATGAAGGATGAAGCAAAGGAATTTTTGAGAGTCTCCCTGTTCTGTGGCATCTGCGGCTTTGGAGAAGACAGGGGATAGAAGTGAAGGGAAGGTGAAGGGACGTGAAGGTGAAGGGAAACCAAGAGGGAAGATCACAAGTGCTTTGGGAAATCCTGGATGTTAATGACCAGAGTGGTTTCCCAAGGCTGAATTCATACCTGCTGTCTTCCTGAATAACAGTTTGCTCCACATCCACTGTCAAAGAGGCCAGGGCAGAAACGGTCTCTGTCTCCTCTTGCAACTGAGTCCCAGCCAGAGCACAGCCCCTTGGCATAGGCACCATCCTCACCGACTTCCAGTACTTGCCTAGAAAAAACATGCATCATAATTTATGGGAATTACAACTAAAGCAGTAGTAATGAGAATACCATTCTAGGTCCAACTCAGTATCATTAGGTTAAAATTCAATATTTATATACAGCTGTAATTTGGGTCTTTAACTGTTAGGATTAAAACTTTTTCTTGATCTTAGTATGCCAAATCGTGAAGTGCTCATATTCCAAAGCCTAAGTCACACCCTTGCTCAGAAGGTAATAAACTGAGTAATAAGTCTCATTCTAATGAACTCACTATCAGACGGATGGCTGTCTCTGCAATTAAGTAAGCAAATTCTGGGCACTCTGCCCCCTGGGAAATCCTTAAGTGACTGGGAGGTAGAAGTTAAGTCTAATGGAGAAAATGAATGAATAGAAATGTTGAAAATTGCTACTTGAGACAGTAATTTTTTTTTTTTTTTAAAGAAGTAGCATTGAAGAAAAATAAAAGCCCAAAAATGTGAGAATGAATCAAATGGCAACTTTGCCAGAACAATCAGGTTTGTTAGTCCTGGATGTTCTTTCTTCTTCAACCTCAGGGTGTGTACTAGAACAAGAATTGACTTAAAACTTTAATATATGCACTGGCTGATGTTGGAATCCTTCCATGGATTGGGAGGATGTTTCTTTTTGAGGCAGGAAAGGAGACTGAGAGGAAAATGGGAGATCATTTCATCAGAACATGCCAGCAGTATAAATCTGAAAGGGCAAAGTCACTGGCTGCCTTGCAACCCTAAGCTATGTTTTGTTAAGTGTAGAGTAGTCTGCTATCAAGAGTAGGAGAATCTTCCTAGGTATTGACATGACTTACCAGATGAGAGCTATCTTTACAGTCTGATCAACAGAGTTTGCTTACTTTCCCCCCAAAATGTCCTGCATCAGTCGCTCCTTGGAAACCCTATATAGCAGGGGTGGGGTGGGGGGTCCGGTTTGTGGGCCATATAAGACCCACAAAATCATTTGATCAGGCCCTGCCAAGGTAAATGCAGTTCCAGCCATCACATTGTTTTTGTTGCTAAGTGCTGTGAGTCAGTTCCAACTCATAGTGATCCTGTATTAGGGGTGAGTTAACTAAATGTTTGACCAAATATAGCAGGCTAATTTTTAACTTGATAATTTTGTATAACCTGCAAGTGATATAAATTTTGGCAGAAAAGTGTTCCCCACCCTGCTATATAGGGTTGCTATGAGCTGGCACCGACTTGACGGCACTTAATAACAACAATAGCAGAAAAGGTAAATGAATAAACACTGGGTTAGGAAGTAAAATAACTGAGTTCTGAACCTCAATCTGGCACTGATCGACCATCTAACCAGGCTTCTGATTATGCCTTTCAATTCCCAGCATAAGTCCCGATCAGCAAAAACGGTTTCATTATTGAGTTTTCTTTCATTTTAATGCTTCACAAAGGAATGGATGTCATATTAGAGAGGAGACACAGTCGGCCCAGCCTCTTCTTATGGTAACTTGACCTTTGGACATGTGTGGCTTTTTGTGACCACCTATCAGGATAAGTGGAGTCCTGGTGTGGCACTGTGGGCTAACGCGCCAGACTGCAAAGGCGTTTGAACTGCAAAGTCGGTGGTTTAAGCTCACCAGCCACTCCTCGGAAACTCCAGGGTCGCTATGGGTCAGAATCAACTTGATGGCACTTAACAACAACAACAATCAGGATAAGTGCTGGACTGCTAACTGCAAAGTTGGCAATTCAAAGTCACCAACTGCTTCTCAGAAACCCTATTCAAGGCCACTATGAGTCAGAACAAACTCTATGGCACTCAACACTCAGACCAAAATCTGAGAATCATAAAACTTTTAACTCAAACCACACAATAGCAATTCCAATGGTTGAAAGAATCTATAACCTAGCATTAAAAAACAAACAAACCAGCAGCTCTGCCAGATATCAAGGACATAAAAATGTTTCCCTCACACCAAGAAATGCAAAGTCTAGTTGGATCACCCTCTGATTGTTGTTGTTATTGTTATGTGCTGTGGAGTTGGTTTGGATCACCCTCTTAGAGTAATAAAAAAAATAATAATAATAACATATTTATGTGAGTAGTAAGGTAGCTTTTCAATAGCAGAAACCTTTCTGGATAAAATTTAATATGTATAAAATACCCTACTAAGTTGAAAGTAACTGTTAGAAGTTTGGGTTTTATCCAAATATATAAGATTTCTGACTCAGAACTGACACAAAAATTTAAAGTCAATATGGGCTCTGGAAAAGTCTATAAAAATAAGGGGAATGTGTTACATTAATATACATTTGTAGACCATTATCTGTATTCATAAGGAGCCTTGGTAGTACAGTGGGATAAGAATTGGACTAATAATTTCAAGGTAGGCAGTTTAAACCCACCAGTCACTCCTCAGGAGAAAGATGAGGCTATTTGCTCTCATAAAACTTTAGTCTCAGAAACCCCATATAGGGTTGCGTTGATTGGAATATACTCCATCGCAGTGGGTCTGGCTTTTTACTGGTTTATCTATATTCATAAAGGAGAATAATTAAAGTGGAAGACCATGCAATATGCAGCCAATTCAAATCCCATAATTTATAATATATATTTTCACATGATGTTTAAGTCTTTATTCCCTTGCAGAAACAGATGTGCAAGAAAATCACATCTGTTGGTATGGGAATAATATCACCATTAGTGCATAAGAGAAGTGAACCAAGGTTTACGGCTCAAGTTTTCAGGGGCTGCTATTCATAAAGTAAAATATTAGTTACTAGCCACCACTGGGTTGCTTGCCTATGGCAATAAAACTAGCAAAAGAGAAGTTATCCATTAAGAAATGATGCACAATCTGCCTTCAGTCATATTCTTTATCGCTATTCACTTTTCCCATGCCTTGAATACTTTTTTGTTCAGACTTCAACACTCACATTTTTGCTTTTTATGGCAAAGGTAAATCAAATAATGATTCTACAATACTCATAGAGGTAAAAAGTAGATCACAAAATGCAAGCGGACAAGTGTTAGAAGTGGAAACCGTAGCTGGGGTTTCACTGGGTCAGTTAGGAGCCATAAAAGAATACCTTGTAGGTACTGTGCAATCCAATTTCTGCATAAGCCAGACTGTTCAGGGGGATGGATAATTTGGGTAAAATAGGTAGTTGCTAACTTCTCTTCTACCAAATTGATAACCCACGTACCAATAACCATTTACCAAAAGTTTTCCCAACGAAAGCTCTTTGCCATTTTGAGAAACTCCTATGCCTTGAAAATCCTACATCCATCATCATTGTTGGAAGCCTAAAGAGTCATTTCTTCTCACATGTTTTAATCCCCTTGTTAGTTGAATGCTGTCCGTCCTTTAATGCATGATGTGTTCTCTTAAGAAGAAAAGATCCCGGTGCTGATCCAAACTCTTTCTATCTCCTTTATCCCAGAGATTATTGAGACCAGGGGCTTAGAAGGTGGACTAGGCTCACATTCTACAGAACTAAGAGTCCTGATGTGGCCCTGGAGATAACCACAGAGTTGGCAGTTCAAACCCACCAGCCATTCCGTGCAAACCCTATACCGACTTGACATCACTTAACAAGCAAGGGCTTTTAAATAATGTTTATGCCAGTGATACTTTATTAGTGAGATATATGAGCATTTACAAAGAATAAGAATTCTGTTTATGCTACTTATTTTGATAGCATAGTGTATTCTGAGCTAGGCTGCTAATTGCAAGGTCAGCAGTTGGAATTTACCTGTTACTCCAATGAGAAAGAAAAGACTTTCTGCTCCCATAAAGATTTACAGCCTTGGAAATTCTAAACGAGGTCGCTATTAGCTGGTACTGACTCTCCGATGCACACAAGCACCACCACCACCACTTTTTTTTTTTTTTTTGACTGTTGCTGTTAAGTGCTGTCGAGTCTGTTCAAACTCATAGTGACCCTGTATTGGGTTACCATACACTTTTGTAGGAGCAGAGAGTCTCATCATTCTCTGTGGAGTAACTGGTAGATTTCAACTGCAGCTAGGAGCCCAGCTGTAATCCACTCAACTATCATAAAGAGTAGCATAAGCAGAACTATTATGGGTGGGCTCGAACTGCTGACCTTGTAGTTTGCAGTCTTTATCCTACTGAGCCATTGTGCCCCACCTTTTTTTAAACTAAATTTAGAGCCAAAACATTGTATAAGTTAAAAAATAAAGATGCATTGAAAATTGGTGTACAAGCAATGGCCCTGTCTCTCTCATTCAAATTGGAATAAGACCTAAAAACAACAAAATTATTTGTTATTGAAATATTTGTTTGTTGTTTTAAATTATTTGTTATTTTAATTGTTTTCCTCCTACTAAGTTTGATTTCCACTCATAGAAACCCTATAGGCGAGAGAACTGTTACCTCGGATTTCCAAGGCTGTAAGAGAAGCCTTGGTGCCGTGGTTAGTGTCTTGGACTGCAAAGTAGGCTTGAACTGCAAGGTCAGTGGTTCAAGTACACCTGCTGCTCCTTGGAAACCCTATACAGTGTCACCATGGACTTGATGGCATGTAACAACAACAAGAAAATCTTTTACATAAGCAGACTGCTTCATCTTTCTCCTGTGTCAGTTTTAATAGGTGGACCTACAACATAGTCCTATTAAAACTCATTTTCAAAATTACAATTATTTCTAAAAAAATAGAAATAACATGTATATCAAAGCAGATTACTCAATTTTTATAATGATCATCTGAACATATATGATAGTTACAAGCACAGCTATTATTCTTTGAAAAAATATATATATTGTTGTTGTTAAGTGCTGTCGAGTCGGTTCCAACCCATAGCGACCCTGTACAGGGTTTCCGAGGGTGTAAATCTTTACGGGAGTAGAAAGCCTCATCTTTCTCCCACGGAG